AAAAAAAAAAAGAACTCACAGTCCCAGATTCTCTGTCCACTAGTCCTTAGTACACTCCTATACCCCTGCCTGGCCCCAGGCAAGTCATGGAGGTTTTTAAAGCAGCTGTGCAACTGGCAGGGCAGGCCTGTACCCTTTCCTTGGTATTTGAGACTGAAAGGGTTGATTAGGATGCAGTGTGCTATCCCACTTGTTCTGGCTCTTTGCTACCATCCCATATGGGCTTTGACAACAGCACTTGCAGAGAGTAGTATTTTGGGTGCCCTTTGCTGCTGGTATCAGAGCACCTTTGTTGTATGAATCCAAAGCCCCTTGGCAACCCAGAGCCACTGTGTCACTGGTAACACTGGTTTTGTATCACAAGAAGCCACCCTTGATGAAGTCAGTAGATTCCTTTGTGACAGTATGTGGGACTGGGGCCTGGCATGTTCTGCCCCAGAAAGGTACTTGGGCACTAAGGGTACTTGCCCCTACTTGAGCACCCAGACTTTCTCTGGATCCCTCGGCCAGTTTGGAACCTGTTGGGTAGTGGGCCCAGAGCAATGTGGACAGAGTGGATTGTGGGTACTCAGGTCTCTCCTTGGGTCACCTACTGCCCACAAGCTGTGACTAGCTTCTGGTGTTTGTGGGCAGGGGCTATAGTGACCCTATCCCACCCTCCCTCGGCTCCTGGTGACCTATAGAAGTTGGTATATCTCTGACCCTGAGTTGGAGTTCCCTCTTCAGGATGGAGATGGCAGAATAAGAGTCAGGAGCTGACAGCTACTACCCAAATAGCAATGTGTGTCATCACTGATACCTGCTATGAAACGAAGAAGAAGGCCTACAGCTTTGGACTTGATGAAAAGTGGACTATTCTTAGTTGCTGCTCAGGGCATTGTGATGGGAGACTCGTCCCCTCTTGGGGCAGCCAAACTTTCATCAGGGACTATCATGCAGGAAAGTTTCCTGTGATGAAGCCTCCTTAGACTGTTTCTTTCCTACCACCACTGCCAGGCCAAGCCGACTTCTGGAGTAAATTCTTCCAGGTGTTTCTGTCCCAGCCTTTGGCATTCCTGGCATTCTTGGGAGGCTCTGGTGTGGCTGACTTTGCCAGCATGGTGGTGCTGGGGAAGCCCTGGGCTCTCTGAGCACACCCTCCCCTGCTCCGCCTGCCTGCCCCTGGCTGCTCCTCTGCTAGCTTCATCCCACAGGGATGGGGGTGGCCTTCATCCTGGTGCAGGCTGGGGAGGGGGGTTGTCTCTGTGTTCTGCCTCCAGGAACTGGCACAGAGACCCTGTCAGCCCCTCTCCAGGCTGCCTCCTGGATTTGCTGGCACTTGGAGGGTGTTGTTCAGATATAAATATCGTGTTATGTAAAGCTTTGGCTGTCTCCCCTCAGTGTGCTTAGGAACATGTATCCTTCCTCCCCAGCACATCAGTATGTCAGCTGGTCTGGCATCTGAGGGCCTCCATGTACCCTGTGGGCTCTGGTGAGGGCCGTTTTGTAGTGAGTGTGTTTACCAGCCAGCAATGGTTCCTGTAGCCTCTCTGTGCTAGGATGAGGTGTTGGTTTTGAATTTGCCTTTATGTTTGTGGCAATTCTGTCTTGGCCAGGTCATGATTGTTTTAGTCCCATTGATTTCCTTCATCAGCCTATGGTAATGAGAAGGAAGGTACTGGGGTCTTCCTTAAGCTGCAGCCCTAGGGACTGTGAGGTAGCAGGTCCATGCATTGACTGGTAGTTTGCTCTGTGTGGACTCCTGGGTCTCTACCCAGAACATGTTCTTGTCCTAGAGGGAGGGCTATGTAACTTGCTGAGACTTCTGGACACCCAGCCTAAGCACCTGCTTACCAACCATTTTCTGGGTCTTGTTCGATGCCAGGCACTGAGCTGGGGAAGCCAGGGATTCAACACAGCCCCTGCCTGATGGAGCCCGTGGGCTCATGAGAGACCCAGATGAGAATCAGATAGCTGCACATATATGTGAAGAGTGAACTGATGGGAGGCTTGTGGTGCTTTGGAAGGACAAATGAAAGGGGTTCCCTGATGTGAGTTCAGGGGAGGCTTCCTGGAGGAGGTACCTCGGAGTGGTGAACTTTTAAGGACAGGGGAAAGGCAGGGCAGGAGTCTCTGAGGCCCATAGGGAACATGGGGTAGAAAGGTTCCACAACTGGGGGAGTTGACAGAGCTGGAGTGGCTGAATCTTGGAGAGCAAGGGACACCAAAACAGATGGTGGGATTTGGGCTGGTTGGTGGGGAAAGAGAGTCATGGATAGGGCTGACCTGTTAAGTGAGTAAAACGACAGGGCCTGGAGTTGCATGGGACACAGGGGTCAAAGGAGAGGGACATTTGTGCTGGCACCAGGGTGAAAGGACTCACTCTGCAAAGATCTCATGGGCTTAACCCCCAACACGTTAATGCTGTGGTACAGATGGAGAAACTGAGGCTTAGTGCAGTCAAGATGTTTGCTCAAGGTCACAAGGTGGGCCCATGGAAGGCGGGTTCTGAACCCAGGCCTGACCATCTCCTGAGAGTGTCAGCCTTCTGCTTGCCTGCTCCGTGCGCATCCTCTCCTGGAGGGCAGTGGTATTATATTGGCATTTCCAGGGTTTTGGTTTCCCAAATTGAAGAAGAGACAGCATGTAAGGCAAATAGACATCAAGTCTGAGCACTCTGTTCTGCCTCAGCTCGACTGCTTGGTGTGGTGGGAGAGGGTGGAGGAATCACTTGGTGTCCCTGACTTGCCATATCTGTTTCCCCTGGCTGGGATCTCCCACTACCCACCCTTGACTCTGGTTAGATCTCCTGTCCTTTGATTGTGCTGCTCTTCTGGGAAGTCCTTGTTGGACCCCTCACAGCTTTTCTGAACAATGACCACCGTGGCCCAGCCCCATCAGGCCTGTGCTGAACCTCAATTGGTCCTGATTGCCCATCTTGGGCTTCAGCTGTGTTTCCTGTGCCTCCCAGCCAGCACCTGACTGATGTCCTTCCCCCAGTGCACAGCGCAGCAGTGAATGCCCTGTCTTTCCACCCATCCGGAAACTACCTGGTCACAGCCTCCAGTGACTCGACCCTGAAGATTCTGGACCTGATGGAGGGCCGGCTGCTCTATACACTCCACGGGCATCAGGTGAGGGTGTCAGCCTGGTCCTGAGCAGTGTGGGGTGGGGTAGAGGCACCACCTTAAGGTTCATGCGGGGCTAGGTTTACTTGGGGTGGTCTTCCCTTAGAGTCTGCTGGGTCCTCTCACATCCTGGGCAGTGGGGCAAGATGCAGAAATGGGCTTGCCACTCACACGACCTGTAGTCAGCTGGATGGAGGCCTTTCCCTGTGACTTGGGCTTGGGGCTGGTGCAGCTGAGAGGGAGTATGGGAGTTAAATTGGGTGGGGTTGGGGGGCTGGGGAGGCACACCTGAGCATAGTTGGCAAACTCCCCCAGGGGGCTTAATGGAGTCTGTCCCCTAATGACTTTGGGCATCCCTTGGTTCAGAGACTGGAGCCCACGGAACCTAAGCCCTGAGTCAACATTGGGGTTTCCTTTGGGTTCTGGGACTGGCAGATATTGATGCTTCTAGAGACTGAGACGACCACAGGTGCACTGCAGAGGCCTGGCAAAAGGAAGGAAATCTCCTGCACATTTGTTGTTTGAGAATTCCTGGAATTTAATCAAGGGAGCAGAGGCCTTCTCTCTGAGTGAGCTTCAAGGCATCTGGTGCCCTGGTCTCCTTGGGTGGGCAGTGGCCAGCATGGGGCCACTATGAGCTGGCTGTGGGGAGTGGGCTGCATGAAACTTTCCCCAGCAGCTGGTCTGGGTTCGGGCCTTTTACACATACCCCTACTGGAAAGTTGGGCTGAGCCCTCTCCTGCTGAGCAGAACAGTCATCAGAATGTCTCCTGTTGGGGCATAGTCGCCACTCCCAATTGGGATAAGGGGTGTGGAGTCCAGAGATTTTAAGTTTGTCCCCTTCTCTGCCTGCCAGCAGGAGGCAGACAGGACAGAGAGTGGGGATGGGACCTTGGGGGCTGAGGAAAGCCCTGGGAGTACTCATATGTCTTGGGCCAATAGCCAGTTGTGGGATGTCTAGCTCAGAACCTTCTGAACTGTTGTTTGGGATCCCACTGCTATTTGAGTTAGGGCACATGGGGGCCATTGGCCTGGCTAGGGCGTGGGGACATAGGCCTTTTCTTCTGCTTCCTTGGGGTCTACAGGCTGCTTGTCTTCCCTGTCAGAGACACATCCAGTGTGCAGGACCAGTGGGCCTGCTCTCCCTGGGCCAGTAGATCCTGATGTATGTGTGGCTGGGCTGGGCTGGGGTGACTGTTGGCTCTCTGTACGCCTGTTGGGGAGCCACCTTTGCTGGCCCTTGGGTAAGTCAGTTATTCAGATTCACATGTAACTGACTTGGGATCTTATAACTAGAAGGACATTTGAAAGTCACATGAATGCCGCTACCTCTTCTGCTCCCCTCAAAAAGAAAAAAGCAACACTCAGAAACAACTTAAAGCAGATGCATATCAAGTGATCACCTCTTTTTGTGAGTGTTCTTTAGGCAACTGACCTCTCCTCTTAACCTGAGAGCACTTGAATGTGGGATCTAAAATGTCATTCCAGTGTTCTGGTGCAGCATTCACAAATAGAGGAAAACCTATTGACATTGTTGTCTCTGAGAAGTGGAACGAGGACCGTGGCATTCCTCCTTGTACTGTTGCTTGTCTGCTGTTAACTAGAGATATAGGAACTAGGCTGGTGACAGCTGATGGTTTGGGGGGATGGAGAATGAGAAACGACCTCACGGAATCGCTAGGCCATTTCTTCTTCAAGGCACTCTCTCACAGTGCCCAGAGGAAGGGAGGAGAAAGAGAAGTGCATCACCCTCTGTTCATTTGCCATCTCTTTGTTTATCATTTGCTCCCCAGCTTACTGGACTGGGATCCAGGGATAGGAAATGGATGCCATGGTTCTGCCCTCTGGGGTTCATGACTTGGGAAGTGGAGGACTCATGGGGTCCACAGAGTCCCAGGCTGCGTGACACAAGCTAGGAAACCAGGAAAGTAAGGCCGAGTCTTAGGAAGTACTTGGAGTGCTGGGGGAGGGTAAGTAGACCTTGCCTCTCTCCCAGGTACAGCTCAGATGAAGGTGGGAGTCAGAGTATGAGACTCTGGTTATTTTCTGCTCCCAAACCTCCCAACTCCCTATCAAATACGCCATGTCGGATTGGTTTGTTACAGGTTTTAGGGGCTCTTCCTCCTGGAATACTCATGACACCCATCCCCACTGTGGGGTACTGCAGGTGCCAGTGTGTGGGAGCCCCTGGGCCTGGCTTGTTCAGGATTCTGCAGACTGACTCAGGAAGACAAGCTGCCCAGGATCACCCTGATATTGCCCCATCCCTGCATTTGTTTTAATCCTTGCCTCTTTCTGATTCTCTCTCACCATGCTCTCCAGCTGGTGGTGGCAGCTCAGTGACAATTTCTACAGGTGAAAGGTCCCCGATGTGGAGAGACCTGGCCTGATTCCCATGCCCTTCTGTGGTGTGGGATCACTGCTTTGAGAGGGCTTTCTTTTTGGGTGCTTATTAATGGCATGGAAGCAGCATTGTGATTGAAGAGCCAGTCTCAGGGCTGATGTAGGGGTGCTTGTGTGTGAGCATGCATGGGCAGAGCTGCCCAAGGGAAAGCCTTATTTACCCCCAGCAAAACCTAGCTTGTTCATCGTACCCCAAGCTGCCACCCCTTGGACCCAAGTCTGCTGGAGTTGGCTCTGGCTTTCTGCTGAGCCTACTTTTGCACCTGGGTTTGGGGTGATTCAAAATCAGCTAATGTTGGCTTCCTAAGTGAGCATAGTGCAATTGAGCAGCCTCAATTTGGACATTTGGTTAAAATACAGGGCCCGCCAGCTGGACTGAATACCTAGTGCTTGTGGAGATCTACAGCCAGGGGCAGGGCTGCTTTGCTCCATCCCAAGGGGAGAAATACCTGGAGGCTGGGCCTGTGTTTCACCCAGCTGGCTTGGAGGATGCTCATGACTGATGAAGACCTGGCTGGGGGGGGTCACGTCACAAGGGGCTGCTAACAAGTGGGTTGAGGGGCTTCACCTGGACACTTTGTGGCAGGTGTATTGTCTTCTTAGGCTCCTGCTCATGAAGTACATTCTCTGCCCCTTCCGAATTCCAGGAAATTCTGCAGCTGGGCTCTTTGGTAACTTGAGCTCCCACATTCTGTTATGGGAGGTGGTCAAGTACCTGATGGAGCACAGCTGCAAATCCTGAATTGTGTGAATTCCTGAATGGTCCTGGGGCTCCTGAGTGGGTCCTAGGCACCTGGGCTTCTGTCCTGCAGATATGGAAGATGGAGGATTGGAAAGTACTTTTGAGCCCAGGTGGTGAAACTGAGAGCCATCTGGACTTGTAGGGTCTCTTGCCTCTTAGAATGACAGAGCTGGGACAAGCACCTGCATCTGTGCCGTTTCCACCATACTCACTTGCCTCGCACATATAGCTTTTACAATTTGAGTTGATTTCACTTTTATTTTTCTTGTATTTTATTTTATCGAGGTAACATATACATACATAACTTACCATCTTTACCATTTCCAAGCATACAGTTCAGTGATGCTGAATACATTTATATTCTTTTTTTCCTTCCTCCCGCTTCCCCATCCTGGCCTCTGGTAACCACAGCCTACTCTCCATCTTCACGAGATCCACTTTTTTAGCTCCCACATATGTTACTCTTGTTTTTAGATCACTGGTCTGGGTAGGATGCCAGCAGACCTCATGGCTACTTGTGTTCCAGCCTTGTTGCTACATGACCCCATTCTGGTCCAGCAGGAGGGAACCCCATAAAACTTTGGTTTGCACTGGGAGGACCTGTTTGTGGCAGTCCTCAGGGTAGCCTGAGAGAGCTGTGGGAGGAAGAGTCACTGAGTTTTTAGCTAGTGCAGCAGCAACTCCCTCATGCTTCCATTTCTGTACCTCTGCAAAATAGATGGCATAGACTGAGGTGAGGCCAGCAGCAAGGTCAGCCACTGGGAACTACTGCTGGGTGAGCAGACCTCGACCAGGAGAGAGGGACCCTGTGGTGCCAGGGGAAGTGTTTCTGTACCCTGCCATGAGGAAAGGGTGGGGGCGCAGTGCTCTTGGGCTGAAACTCTGTTGTCTGGATTGAGCAAGAGTTATCCTGATGTGCCTTTCACTTGTCTCCTAAGCCACAGAGGGCACCGGTATGGAGAAACTTGCCAAATGCCAGGCTAAGATCAGGATCACCCAGCGTGCCCCTGGGCAGGACCTGTGTGCTGGTGTTGAGGGCAGCTCATGGGCAAGGGATCTGAGCTTGAGGGCAGTTTAGTGGTTCTCTGGCACATGATTGGCCACTTTGCATTGACCCCCCATTTGAGGGGTCTTTTGCTTGGGCAGGCTTACTCTGTGAGGCTAGGAGGTTGTCTTAGTCAGTTTTTTGCTGTGATAACAAAATACCTGAAACAAGGTAATTTATCAAGAGCAGAAACTTAATTCGCACATTTCTGGATGCTGGGAAGTCCAAGATCAAGGCATCTGGGGAAAGCTGCTATCTGCTACCAAGGTGATACTTTAATGCTGCATCCTCCAGAGGGGACGAGCATTGTTCTTATATGGTGGGTGGAAGGGTGAAAAGGGTACCATGTTCCCTTTTTTAAGCCCTCTTATAAGGGTACTTGGGCTGGATATGGTAGCTCATACCTGTAATTCCAGCATTTTGGGACGCTGAGATGAGAGGATCACTTGAGGCAAGGAGTTCAAGATCAGCCTGGGCAACATAGGGAGACCCTGTCTCTACAAAATTTAAAAAAATTAGCTGGGCGTGGTGGCATATATACCTGTAGTCCTAATACTAGCGAGGCTGAGGCAGGAGGATTACTCGAGCCCACAAGTTCAAGGTTACAATGAGCTATGATTGTGCCACTGCACGCCAACCTGGGCAACAGTGAGACCTCGTCTCTTAAAGAAAAGAAATGAGGGCACCTAATCTCATGGGATCTGCCCTCATGACTCAGTCACTTCCAGAAGGCCACACCTTCCAATACTGTTGCATTGGGAATTAAGTTGCAGTGAGAATTTTGGTGGGACAAAAAACAACAACAAAACAAAACAT